CACACACACACACACACACACACACACACACACACACACACACACACGCCCCAGATGTAAGTGAAACATTTACAGATCACATGCAAGCACACACCAACATGAACACACACAGGAGCATAGTTACATTCACGTAGGCACGAACACACACACATCACACACATCACACATCACATGCGGCAGGCACACACCACAGAGACTTCCAGTCCCCTCCCCCCAACTGAATAGTCTGTTCTGACAATCCACAGGACAGCCGGAGCATTGACGTCAGAGGCAGGCCCATGAAAATACAGGGTCCCTGGGGGGCTGAGGGAGTTATGCACATCTTCACAGCTTGGCTCGCAACTAGCTCAACAACAAATGAGCATATTACTGTCTCCGTTTACTCTTATTTGTTGAAAAATGAAAATCATAAAAAAAAAAAAAGAGTTCCACATTTACACAAAGCCTGGCATGCACACATTTGCATGCGACTGCAATGCGGCTCATCTGAAATGTGACGTCAATGGACGTCATTGCACTGTGATCCATTAGGACAAATGTGAGATAGGTGCATAATTTAGGTTAATGGAAACACAAATCACCGCACATCATTGCCTGCCCTCTGTCGTCTTAATAATTGCCATTTTGAATAACTGCTGTCAGATTGTCGTATATTAGACGTACCCAGAGGGAAGGTTTGTTGCTCCCTCAAACGTCCTCACAGTCCCAGGAGAGAAGATGACATCTTGTTTACCGCTCAATGTTCTGAACATCTTTCTGTTTTTTCTTCTTCTTCTAAGACATCATTAGGACTTCAGACCCATTAATCTCATTGTTCTCTTTCGTTCTCCTTCTCGCACCTTTTCCGAGATTGACTCCGTCACATTATATAACATAGTTTATGTATTTTTGTCTGTAACTACATACAGTATGTGTTACTGTGGTCTTCGACATGTTAAAATAAAAAAAGCTTATGTCTAATTTAATCTTGGTCTGCATAGATAGAAAGCCGTATAGATTATTTAAGGCAATGTTAGTGATTCAGAAGAGGGTCACTACATTAAAGGTGCATGTATCTTTAGGTGCGTGTTTAACATGGGACGGATATCCATTTTATATTGTTACATTTTGAATAAAGTCATAAATAAAAGTGCACAAATTAGTTAATGTTGCAAAACACACTGAGGTCATCCATTGAACATACTTAGTTACAGGTTTTATACTGTAAATCTGCATCTTTTATTTCATTTTTATTTTTTATTCCAAAGTAAATACATTTTGCACATGAGATAATCCAAAAATTCTAAAATGTTCTCACTGCATCACCACTCCGATGAATAAAATACAATTGGCCCTATAATGGTTGCAGCAACTAACCAATTGAATTATATAAAAAATGATCCGCATGGTCATCATATCACTGACATAAAATACATCATATCAAACAATAATAACCAACAAACATAAACACCAGACATAACTCATGCTGAATTGTATATGTGCGTGAAATATGGTAAACAGA